CGCCCCCTCCCCCCAGCGGGGGCCACTCACCATATTACTCCCCGCACCGGAAGAGACGGCGCCATGCGAAGCCGGAAGAGGCGGAGGAGGCTTCCGTCGCTACGGCAACGAGCGGACCCGTGAGCCCACGCGCGGGAGCGGATGTGACGCTTAAAGGCAAGGGCTCCCGCCTTGGGCCGTTAGCGGGACGCTTCTCCCCTCCGCTCCGGGGAGGCTGGTCCCTGTCCCGGTCCGCCGCCCGGCAGTGACTCTCGCCTCTCCTTACCCGGAGGCAGCGCACGGAAACCCACAGTCGATTCGTTCTCGGCCAGCGTCATCCCCTCAGCCAGCGTGCTACGAGCCGGAGGCAGGCGGCGGGCAGAGAGGTGGCGGCAGAGGCCCTGCCCGCCCCGGCTACCTCAGCCCGACAGCCCTCCCTTGCGATGCGCGGATTTCGAGTGAAATCCCACTGCATTTCTGCATTTTGTCTGCCCGTTTTCTGTGAGAATTCAAAGAAAGGACTCCCGCCGCGGTGGTCACGATACTCCAAGCCGCAAGGACGGTTTTGTTTCACCACGTCCTCCATACAAAAATACACCTAAAATCACGATAGCGTCACTACGGCTAGTCCTCTCTGCTGCTGTATTCTGCATTAATGGCAGTAAGTACGCATCTTTCAGAGTGGATGTTTTTCCAGCAGTATGCAAAATTTCGACGGGGCAGTAGCTCTCGGAACCACAGGAACTCTTGCTGAATATGTAGTCACTGCTTTGCGTGCTGAAGTTCTGAGAACTGCTCCCATCGCTCTGAATATATTAAAACATTAGAAGCATTACCATTGAGCAGTCTAACGCCATCCCAAAGTCTGTCGTGGTACGAAGCAGGGAGTGGACTTTGTGGGAAGGAAAACACAGAGCCACATTTAAGGTACCGAGGCTCTGGAACATGGGGACACGGGGGCTGCAAGGTGACAATAATCTCCTTGTGTGACCTGACTAGCAGACCACTAAACTGCCCAATAGTTTCTGTCAGAAGGAACAAAATACAGAACTGAAGTTTTCTTGGAAGTTAGGATAGCTCAGTTAAAAAAAAAAACTGTGTTACAAAACACCTGCGTGGGATTTAATGTACAGAAAGATTTAGTCACAAGACAGCTTCTTTATCGTTGCCTTTGGGAAATGGGTGAAAAGAAGTAGGAATAAAAATTGAAGCTAGATACTTTATTAAGACAGATTATTGTGACAGATTATTAAGACAGACATAGGAAGATACTTGAAACAACCTTCTGTAATACTGTGCTGTCTTTGGTCTTTTAATGGTCTACTCAGTTGTCCGGTGACCATAGTTACAGCGGTTAAAAATGTTATTTGCATCTAATCTGTTCTGTGAAACACACCAAAAGACTTACCTGACTGTGGGTTGGGAGTGACTGGACAGGTAATTGTATTCCACGAGACACGTATTTAATGTCTCAGACCTGCTCATTCTAAGCTGTTGACTGTAATGAAGAAATTTTTTCCAGTGTACAGAAGTAGTTTTGGGAATAATTTAAACAAAAAAAAAATCCTTTTGCAGTCTGTAAAATTTGCATGACAGGTAAGAGAATTCCAACTGTGGTGTTGTGGTATGTAAACTCTCCACAGGCTGCAGCTGCTGCCTCCACTCAAATTTAACCAGGAAATCAGAAGTCAGGTGAACCACAGGGGCAACATTTTATCTGTATGATATGCTCCACAAATACAAAGTTATTTGGTTACTTCATTATTGACACATCATCAGGCTTTTTGATTATTTCATGTCTTGGCATATTTTTTCCCAGAAGAGGAAAACAGTTATAAGAAATTGCACTTCTGTAATTCACAGAAGAGAAATACGATGACTAATAGCACAGCTGATGCAAGTATTCTGCATATAACAAAACTAACAGTCTTCAAGGATGTCTTACAACTGAGGCAAGTTTGAGGCCTTTTAGAAATTACTAAAATGAGATTTGAAAATAATAGAAGTTACAATATTAGAAAGAACATACTGTGCTTCCAATATATATTTGCAAAAAAAGTGGAATCTTCAAAAGCAGTTGGTAAAAACAACACACTTTGCTCATTAGGTTGGTTGCAGGCTTCTGAAATGCCCACCTTTTTTGGTTTTTTTGCTACACCACAGCACCAATAAATCACTCGTGTGTCGAGAGATGGATTTTAGTGAAATTATATCTTTCTGCCTTCACCACTACATAATACTTTCTGTATTATCAAAAAGTGGAATCTTCAAAAGCAGTTGGTAAAAACAACACACTTTGCTCATTAGGTTGGTTGCAGGCTTCTGAAATGCCCACCTTTTTTGGTTTTTTTGCTACACCACAGCACCAATAAATCACTCGTGTGTCGAGAGATGGATTTTAGTGAAATTATATCTTTCTGCCTTCACCACTACATAATACTTTCTGTATTATCATTACACACAGAATAAAAAAATGACTTGGAGAAGGTTGCATAACTCTTGTCTGTTCCAGAGCCATATGTACCCTTGTAGGAAACAGGCTGGATTTCACAAGTTCACAAAGTATTTGGAAATTTGCAGGAAGATAGCTTGAGTGCAAAAAAAAAACCCACAAAACTTTAAGCTAATTTTTCTCACTTTTTGTGGCAAACTTAAAACATTAAAATACAGAAATAAACAGATTTCATCTGAAATATGCCTGCATCTGACACTAGGCATGGAGCCTTGTCTCACACCATCTTGGCTGGAATGGGAAGACATTTATCGTTTAATTAGTCTAACACACATCAGACCAGGCTATGCTGCCAAGTCCATAATCTATAGATTTCAACACAGCAAGTGCTGGGATATTGTTTTCAGGCTCTTGCTTCTTCACTAAATTTATGTGAGCATCTCCTCTACAAGAATAAAAGTCTATTTGAGTATCTGTAACCTGTACACAAAATTGCTAATTGAAATAATTACAGTGGTTCAGAATCTACCTCCAAGTAGTGGCATTTCAGCCAAAGAGAGATACTGGATAATTATCCCACGTAGACAACAATGGTGTCTCTCTATCCCAAGGAATTAATGCTTGACAGAAGCAGCAATAGCTCTTACGCTTCAGTCCAAAACATTGGGTTTTTCTCCTGATTGCTGTATTGATTTTTATTTGGTTTGCTTGCTTTAACAGTGGTAGATACAATGACATGTTGAAGGCAGTGGTCATGGCTGCTTTTTGAGAGACCCCTAACGCTGCCAGATACGTAATATTAAAATAACTCTAGTCCAACTTTTTTTTTTTAATCTTATCTTCAGGATGTAACTGTAAGAACAGAAAGCCCCAGTAGTTGTTAGCAGTCCAGCTGCAGCCTCAAGACAATGGCTAGAAAGAATTACAAACAGTAAGGAGATGTGGGGATAAGTGAAGAATTTAGATTGTTACCTCAAAAATAACAGCAGCGCTCTCCCCCCAGCAAAATAAAAGGTGCCATTTTGATACTAAGTAAATTGGCTCCAAATAGCTATTTTCAGGACTTCACCAGGACTACCAGAGTTAGTTATGTGAAACCTCCGGGTTTTCACTGTGATTTAGCAAGACTAGGATAAGCACATACTTTCAGTTTCAGCACATTTATTTAGGAAGCAGCACTTCTGTTTACATTAGTTTTAAGAACTTGAGTTATGTCCTTTAGAAACTAAATGAGGTATTTAGATATTTATTGTTCCATCATCTAGTATACAACACCCAATTTTTTTTTTTTTTTTTTTAAAAAACCAGCAGCAATTTAGTAGGCTTCAGGTTTAATGAAAAGGCTCTTAATTTTGGACATTTTATCTGATAAACAGACAAGAAAACAGTAAGAACAGGACAAATGCAACATTTTATTGTGAAGCTAAAGCTATGTGACTGCTCATCATGCTTTTTTACATTGCTTATTAATAAAATGGTGTTTAACATTTCAGAAAACATTCTTAAAAGAACAATGAAACAAAAGTGCTTCAAAACAACAAAATACAAGAATTAACCCCATCCCAGACTGGAGTCACCCAATATATTTAATGGGGGTGGGGTATAGTGTTTTGTCTCCACCTTTGGTTTTTATCGCTTTAATCCAGATTTCTGAAAAATACTGACTAGCCCTTCACAGGAATAAAAATTTGAATCACGTGGCAAAAACACTTTCTGTATTTCCAGTCTCTTTGATAGGTGTGCAAGTATGAGAAAGTACTTTCTTCCTCACTTCTAATGCTAAAAAAACCTACAGGACCGAGAGGCTACACCCCTAGCATCTTAGAAGAATATGCCTATATTAACCAACTACAAAGAATGTTGACCTCTTTCCTCAAAGCCACTTCTCTGAAACAGGATTTTAAGAAGCGCGTCTTACGAAGGCAAGGAAAGTCTTACAGGAAAACACATTGATCACCATAGTTTCCAGGCATCATGTCAAGAATTTGCAAATCAAAAGATCAAACTCTGAAGAACCCACAGTGTTTAGCCAATACATTTAATCCACTGGAGGAGTGTATACCTTGCCAATTATTGCCGAACTCAGGAGGTAGTTATTGACAAAGTAAAGAGTTTCCACTTTAAGACAGTTAACGATTTACATGAGAAGCAGGAAAAACACAATACACGTTTCCCCATACTTCAGAAGATGACTTTGTATTTGCAGGAAGCAACAGTTTAACTTCCTCATCCTGTGGAATTATAGTTACAATATTTAAAAGAAAAAAATATTGAAAAGAATGTTTAAAGAAAAATTTCTAAACGAAAATCACTGATCCATTGGTCATCTCTTAGGATGACCAGCAGATCATCCTAAGCATGAAAATTCAGGTAGGCGAGTCAAACAACATCCTTCAACACTAAATAGCAGCTCAAGAGAACCTAACAATGAAATCAGCAACTGCCTCTAATTAGCACAATGACTGAGATAACTAGTTGCATTCACTACCTGCTTGCTACTTTTCATTCCATTCTTGATACCTGGTAGAAGTCCCCAACACTAAAAACATCACAAAAGCTTGAGACCCCACAGACAATGAATGAAGATTTGTAACCTACAATAGCGCTTGCCACCTCCCAATGCTGCCACATGCAGAAGCATCACTAAAGCACTGCAGTAGCTAGATAAGCATGGCTTAGGCACGACTATGCATTATCGTGTCTTGGGTAGGAAAGCAGCATAAGAATCTAGGGCACAGTTTGACCATAGATGGTTAAGGAAGCCTTAAGTAGAACGTGGCTTTCCACAGCAGTTGCAGAACAGACATCTCGGTTAAATTTGCCAGCATATCTGCCTTCAGTATTCCCAGTGCAAAGTACTTAAATTTCACAAGATGGACTTGGCAGCAGTGCCAAGCAGTGCTAAAAACCGCTTGTTTAGAATAGAAAAAGTACTATTTATTCTACACCAGAAGGTAAGGTTGTCTGAGTAAGTTATATGCATAAAACCTATTATTTTAAAAACATTTGAGAGAATCTAACAGTGAAATCAGCAATGGCCTCTAGCACGGTGACAACAAATTCTTTCTCAGTTCAGAGATCCTATTCTCCATTTTAAAGTGTTACTATCACGTTTATTATCTACATGAAGTAAGTTGCAGGGCCATATTCAGCAAAACTGTTCTAGCGACTGACTTTCTGAAGCAGAGTCAGTAAGATGTCTCAGGGGCAGAATGCCTGTTTCTAATACACTGAACTCCATAAAGTCTAAGAAACTAACAGGACAGAGAGACTTAACACGTGCACAAATATCCTAATTTAGGCTTATCTTTAATATTCAGTGTTGTTCTTGTCTTAACCGCAAGGGGAGAATCTGTACAGGTTTGGTGTACTCTACGGAAAAGTCAACATTAGTAAAGGGAACATTGTAGCACATGACAAATCTTCATTTTAAGGAGAAAGCATCACACAGTGCTTGAGTTTTTCCCTCCCGTTATGCCACCAAAAGCAGCAACCCGCTGCCTGAGAAGACATTGTTCTTCCAACACGTAGAAAGACAAAAGGTGTGTTTCCTGCTTAATAAGAAGAGGCAAAGATGTAGGAAGAAGGTTGTTAAAAAAACAGGGGCTTATGGGTTTTTTTTTTTCCCCACCCTCCAGTAACTGCTACACTTTAAGTCAGTAAAACACACTTGCAGAGGGCCAGACAAGCTGCTTCCTAATCATCTCAAAAAAAGTGGGTCAAGTCACTCATTAGCAGCAGGCAAAAAAAAAAAAAAAAAAAAAA